TCATGATGTGGATATGTGTTACTTCCTGGTATCGTTGACCTCAATCACTTGGTTAAGATGTTCTCTGTCTGGTTCCTCATTGTAAAGGTACCACTTACCTTTCCCTTTGAGATTAATCAATACTCAGGAGATACTTGGAAACTATTAAAAGTATATTTCTCCTCAAACTTTCATCCACTAAATCTAGCATTGATCAGTGGATTTTTGCATTAACAATTATGATTATAGTGTTTGTCTCATAGTAACTTTCTATTTTCCTCTTTCCTTCTACATTTATTCATTGAAATATATCATAAGGAAGAGCTTTCCTTTTGCCTCATTTATCAGTGTGGACTCGATATTTATTTTATCCAATGGATTAAAATATAATACAGGTATTATTTATTGTGCTGCTCAAATATGTAAACCATAATATTTTAAATTGGGAAAATACTCCCCTATGAGCACAGAGGCACCTAATAAGCTCAGAGAAAATTCTGCTAAATAGAAGATATTCAAATTATGATTACAAATCTCTCTAGATTAAAATGTGTAAATATTTGGGTGCAAATATTTTGACAGATACTATCTTTGCCTCTATTTGTATGTGTGTGGGTTTTTTGTTTGTTTGTTTTTGAAAAATTAAGTTCACCAAATAAGCTGTTTTTATTTATGGTTTTTGAATATTTTTCCAAACATAGATATTGTAAAACCTGGTACAGGATATAAGTTTATACTATTAAATAGGAGCTCCATCAAGAGCTTCTTTCCATAAGTCATGCTTTCCAAAATATAATCACAAAATTTCAAAATTAAATATTTTGTACAATATGAACTCTCATTGTTTCATTTTTTAAGTTAATTCCTTATTTTCATAGGGATACATTTCCCATTTGAAATTTTTTTCCAATTATTGCAATTATAAAGATTAAAAGGTTGAAATTACTTGTTTCCTTTGCGTGTTGAATATTTTAACTAAAAACTTTCAAATAATTTTTAACAAAATGCAATTTCTAAAAGCTGATTAGTGACCAGCAGCAAAGAAAATATGACATGAATAGGATTATTTTTAAAAATTACACCAACTTTATCTTCCAAATATTGCATGTAGTTCTTTCTAACTTTGTACATGTAAAACTATGTGTGAATTTTTACTAATTACCATTTCAGTTAATGTAATAGCACAGCTTTATTACATGTGCACCATCATCAATCCCAGTACATTTCTGCTCCATAGATTTATTTCTATAGTAAAAAAATTATTTTACTGTGATGCTGAATTCCATCAAAATATGCATTTGTATTATCATTTGCATTCACAAGTTTAATTTTTAAAGATACTGTAGCCTTTACAATAAGGTCAGAAAATTCAACTTTGACACAATAAACTTCCAAAAGCTTTTCTTTGATTCTGTGAATTTAATTAAATTATTATTTGAATTAATTGATTTTCTATTTTTGTAAAACTGTCATAATTGGACTGTCTGCAAACTTCTGATTATGATATCAACTCATTGCTTTATATTGCTCACAGGCCCACCCAAGGAAACTTGGAATTAAAAATGAGAGAAATTAATGTAAGATAACTGTCCCTTGACCTAAATGAAGTCCAGCTGCATGGGGTGACTTCTGCAGCCGCATGCATACATCACATGCACTTGGGCTTAAAGATATAGGTCAGATTTCAACAAGTGGAGTCCAGGTAGGGAAGCAGATTCAAAGTGGAAGTAGCAACATGAACAAAAAGCATGGACAGCAAAGGCCAAATGTTTTAAGCGAATGGGCACCGTCATTAACATAATGACTATCTTTTGATGTTGGTACTTCCTCAGCAGATTTCTGTATTTTGATTGTCTTATGGACCCTATGGTGGATGGTGAGTATTTTGTGTGCTCTTTGTTTATCATCAACTTTCTTGAGAAACGGAAAATCGATACTTAATATTTTTAAACATGTGTACACTCAACCTTGTTTCTGAATTGGTTTATTGCCAAGTAAAATAGCTATAGATTTTATAGACAATAAAAAGTTATAGATTTAGAGCATAAGATAGATAACTAACCTACTGTAGTAGCAGCCTCCCACACATATTGCACTTACACCTAATCTTTAATTCCCTACATTTCCCACTAAACCCACTGACTGTTATCCTGGTGGCTTCATGCCTCTCACAGTCATGGCATGGGTCACCCAGCATGGGCTATGACACACTGGCTGCTCTATCAGCGGACAGCAGGATCTGTAGCATCAAATATCTCTCTCATCCCCAGCAGAACAGGTTGCAGTTAGCTGTTGCTAGCTGCTCATGTTCAAATGTCATTCTATCAGCCAGTGCCCTGCATGCTACACTTCAAAGGAAGATGTAAGTTTCCTTGAGACTAGAAAAGGTGGGGGAAGGAGAGATGGGCTGTCTTTCAGCGTTTACCATGTGTTGCAGCGAGAACTCTGTCAAATGCACCTGCCTCTGACCTTCTACTAGGAGACACTGTGTCAGAAATTGAAGTACAATGTAGAGGTCTTACCAAATCTCTTGAAATGCAACTATTAAGAGTGATCCTCCTTTCAAAAGGAGAAAATCCAAGGCAAATGCTAAACTGGACTTAATGCTTGAACAATAGCCTAAAACCAGGATGTTCTAGGCAAATCAGGCCACATGTCTCCTTCTGGGAATCAAACCCTGACCTCCTGGTTCATAGGTCAATGCTCAACCACTAGGCCACCATGGCTGGGCTCCTTAAACCTGGAATTGTCTTTGACTCTGGCATGTACAGTCAACCACTGAATCTTCTTTATACTTTCTTAATTCTTACTGTATCCACCTAGGCCTAGATGCTGTTACCACATGCCTGTATTACTTATAATTACCTATCGATTGGTCTAGGAATCATGTCCTCATTCTATCCATTCTCTTCACAGCTACCATAGTTTTATTTATCCAGAAACTTTGTGTCTCATCACACCCTTGCTGAAAAAATCTTAATGTTTCCTTATTACCTGCAGAGAAAATTCCAAACTTAGATTCTGAGTATAGTCCCTTCCTAGTCTATACTTACAGATTCATTTGTCATTCCTCCCTTGCACAAATTCCTCACTGCAGCTTGACTTGATCACTCCCCATGTCCTAAACACACTTGGCATTTGGCATTTGCTGTCCATGCTTTTGTTCATGCTTCTATTCAGTCTTCCCAAGCTAGACCTCACTTGTTGAAATCTGACCTATATCTTTAAGCCCAAGTACTATCTTCAAGAGTCCTGCTCTGATTCCCCATCCAGGAATATTCTCTTTATTCTCTGAAGGTCTGCAGTTGTATAGAAACTACTCTGGTGGTGTATTATACTACAACCTTCAATTCAAGGAGCTGCTTGATTGCAAACTTTTTCAGGATGGAGATGAACTCTTTCATCTTTTGATATTGAGAATGCCATGCAGCAGGAATCTGTGAACATGCTGCTGCTTAATAACTATTCATTGAGTGAATTAATAAACGAATGGCTAATAAATCCAAACAAAAGAGATAATGAATGACATCTTCACTCTAGAAAATATTTTTACAATATATTGGAAAATATATTAATTAACCCAGGCTGCCACAGCAAAATAACAAAGACTGGGTGACCTACACAACAGACATTTATTTCCCATGGTTCTGGAGGCTGTGGAGTCCAAGCTCAAGGTGTCAGCAGAGGGAGGGAACTCTGGTCTTTCTTCTTCTCATTATAAGGACACTAATCCCAGCACGAGAGAGAGCCCCTTTGGACTTCATCTAACCCTAAATTACCTCTCAAAGGCCCCACCTTTAAACATCATCTCATTGGGGTTAGGGCTTCAACAAATAAATTTTTGGGGAACCCAAATGTTCAGTACATAACGAGGACATTTAATCACAAGAAATGATTGAATTTAAGCCTGTCTGTGGGAGAATCTTTTTGAGTGAATGGGCATTGTGATCTGTAAAGTCCTATAAATAGCCAGGTTGATTCACCTTTCATATAAGATCAGCCTTGTTTATTAATCTTTGGGTCATTCATAAATGCTAAACAAGATCAGTATCATGCCATTTTTATAACCCTGATTTCCACTAACAAATAAAGACATAATGGGTAAAGACATAAGGTGTGTATTTGTGTCTCTGTATCTGTCTCAAACAAAAAGATCCACATCAAACATATAATAACGGCTTTTTATGGGGAAGACAGTGGCATTGCAGAGGTATATCACCCTGTGTGCTCCTGAACTGTTTTGGTATTTTTGGTAATGAGCATATTTTACATATTATGTTGAAACAGAAGAATGATTTTTAAATCTTTTAAGAATTCTTGGCCTACATGGTGCTCTGTATCTGAGATCCTGATGTGGCAACTGCCTTCAAAGAGTTCACACACAGTATTCCTTTGGAAGCCCAAGAAATGAAGAAAATAAAAACGTGGCTCACCCGATTTCCAACGATAGCTCTATTGTTTTCAAAAATCTTACCAGAGTAAGAAAATAATCTTACTGTGAGAGTAAAAACATATTTGGAAAGCAAATATATAGTAAAAAAAAAAAAAAGGAAAGGAATGGAAAAAGTTGAACTTGTGTGTTTCACAAATCATATAAATTCTTCACACAAAAAGAATTTACAATCCCCAAATCAATGGATTCATAGGCATAAATCTGAAAAACATTGTGACTAAAATCAGTAAAGCTATTGAAGTATTTAAATATTTAATTCTCATAAGGATCAAGTACATGTTAACCATAAAACAAAATGAGAACATCTGGAAGGCAAAGAGGTTGAAAGATTGAAAATAAAAAAGCAAATTGTGTGTTTAGTGCTACTGAGAGACTTCAGCAAATGGATATCAACCCATTTCAAAATAAATACAGAGTTTGTGTAATTACAATGAGCCTGAAGAGAGGTGTAGCATTTATATACCTCCTGGGAATTTGGGTGAGTCAGAAACATAAAACCAAAGCAAAGGGAGGGTATTGAAATATTATTTCCTGCTGTATTGTAGAACGGAGAAGAGAATAAACATACCGACTACTTGCATGGCCGGTTCCACGTCTGCTGTGGCCTCTTCCAACAATGACAGCAGCTTGGCTGATATCTGATGCACGGATTCAATATTGCTAAACAAGCTATCCACGTCCAGCCGATCAATCTGAAGAAAAACAAACACTGAGTAGCAGCTAATAGAAAGAGACCCGCTGTATTTAGGATGTTATCTCTCACAGTAAGCATTTTGTATTCCAGCCCACCATTTCTGTAAACACCCTTCTTCAGGATTTCTAGAGGAAATGTGCAGTTTTTCATGCAAGAAATTGGGATGGTGCACTTGTTACCTCTTTTTCTTTATTTTAACTAAATTTTTGTGAGTGGTGTGTACATCTACATATGCTTATAAGAATCAGAGTGTGAAGAAGACATGGGCCAGCTAACTGGCACATTTATGAACTGTCCTCCAGGAGGGTGTGTACCTGGGCATATGAATTTCGAACACTGTACTGCTCACACAGCAGAATTCAGGCCTTCCTCTAGGCAAGAAACTATTTTCAAAGCTGTTTTAAAACATACATGTTCTCAAACTGATGACAAGTAGTTGTGCTGAGCTGTTCCTGTTTGTTTGTTTTTTTAAAAAAGAAATGTGAATAGAAATTGTTAACAAACACGTTCTGCTAATTAAAGATTCATCATATAATTTCTTCATGAACTAGTGTTATCATTCCCAGATCTTATGGCTGGTATTTATAATAATTTACCTATTCATTCATCCATCCTTTTATTAAATACTAGAGGCCCAGCGCACAATATCACGTGAGACCCAGACCCGCCGTGCCAGTGGGACCCAGACTGACTCCACCACGGCAGGGGGGACACGGGACCCAGACTGACTCCCACCACGGCTGGGCAGGACACGGGACCCAGACCGACTCCCGCCGCACTGGGTGGGACGTGGGACCCAGAGTCAAGTGCCCGCCCACACATGCACGCCTCGCTGTGCACGCAGCTTCCTGGTGACCAGTCTTTGGTCGTTCGGCCGTGAGGTGTCACAATCAAGGGGTTTTTATAATAGAGATTTCCTGAGGACCTTGTATGTACCAAGAATTGTAACAGAAGCCACACTCTGTCAGAGGCATTGGATGATTAGTGGAAGGATGGTCGCCTATCCTAACCAATCTAAGTGGAGTGTGTCTTGATTTTGCTGTATCTTGCTCAAAATCTTTCTCTTGAGTTTAAGTTAGATCTTGTATAATCAAACAGCATCTACTTGGGTCAGGAACAGATTGGTACAGGCGCCACTGGGCAACCACAGGGAACAGGAGTAGGTGCCTCCTATCCCTCATTTATTGTGCATGAGGTTGTAGGTGAAAAACCAAACCACCAATAATCACGTCATGGAGGTACTAGTAGAGCTGATAGTCAAAAACCCAGGTCAGCAAAAATCAATGTTAGAGAGAGTTAGAAAGGTGAGCTAAAGATCAGAAAGAAAGAAGCAGAGGAAGTAAGGGAAATTGGCAACACTGAATATAGAATAAGAGACAGACTTGGAGGAATTTCTGAGGATGAGGTCCAACAACTGCAGCTTCTTTCTCATGCTCTCAGCATCAGTGTCATTGGTGTGCCACATCCATTTAGTGGGGAGGAAGGAGGCAGGCACCCATCTTTTTCTCTTATCCTTTTTGACATTGACCCATCTATTGTTCCCCATACTGGACATGGATACTATTGATAAGGATATTCTGTTATTGAGCATAGAAGCATCACTTCACATTGAGCCTTGTTTGAAATATGGTGACTATGTCAGTTATTTCTTATGCAATATGGTCTGACTGTACATGTTTTTCAACCACCCTGGGAAATTCCTCACTTTTCTATCATCAGTCTTGACCTCAATAAAACTTCCAGTCTCATCTGTAATCAAATACTATGTGATTGCATGTAATGAGTTTATTTCAATATAGTGCTATACAACTTTTTTCCTATTTTTGTGTATTCTGAAATTATCTTTATCTCTATAGTACATTATTACATTACAATCATTATTAGCTCATAGGGTCTTTAACGCAGTATCTCACAAAATGTTCCTTCGTTAAGCACTCACTTTAACAGGATAGGGCATATGTGGCTCTTCTGCTTAAAATCTATGATATTACTATAGAAACTACCTAAAAGCAGATGATGCTTTGCTAATACTTTTTTTTTTCACTGTCTAAGTCTACATGATGGCTTGTCTCATAGAGGAGAACACTGGAATAGGCTGGATTTTGTTGCTATAGCTAGCTCAAATTGTGTCAAACAGTGTCAATCATCTGCCACAACTAATACTTTTAAATGGCTATGATGTCACATAACTCTGAGTACCATGGATTGAATGAATTATTTATTCTGAGTTGTTTTATGCTTTGGTTATCAATTGAATCACAAAGGTGTACATTTGCCTAGTGCAAAATGTTTTTCCCAAAAGTTGTGAATGTATCAAATTTTTGTAGGTTGAGTTATTTTAAGATGTACTAGTAAAATATTTCTTAAAATCATATTTGATATGAATCCTTCTAATAAGTAAAATTTCATCCCTAATTTACTTTCTTTGTAAGATTAGATGTAGTTCATACAGTGTACCCTATTATTATTTCATTTTGTTGTGGAACCTTTATTCTGAGGAACTTAAAGTATTTCATATTTATTATTTCATATATCTTTCCAACGTCTCTGTAAAATACATACAGTTTGAATGCAGAGAAACTCATGCAGAATGAAGAAAGGTGTCAAGCTTAAAATGATGAAGTTCAGGAAAGAGCTAGAACTGGAAAATGACCTTTTAGTGCTATGCCTTAGTCCATTACCAGCAAATATTATGAATAGAATACTTTGCCATCTCTGTTTGGATTTTGTTTGTTTGTTTCTGAGTTTTTCAACAAGTTATCATTTTTATAATTTATTTCCCAAGGTCAGAATCTTGTATATCTAATTTAGATTTTAAATTCAGTTAGCAAGGATCTAATTCTATATCTATCTCTAATCTTAGCTCAATGCAATTAATATTAAATAGCAAAATATAGGTTTTTATTTCATTTCTATCTGAAAGATAGAAAGGATGAAAACATCAATTGGCTGGGTTTCAACCGCCAGTATCACCACAGGCCCATGGGGATTCTGTGAATCATAAAATGAATTCACAGTCAGTCACTGCTATGCCAAGGGACAAACAAAGGTCTGGTCCCAATAAGCTTTTAAAACTGGTAGATGATTTTATAATTACTGATATAAATTCAAGGAATCATTTACGTAAATTCACTAAACATTTACTAGGAAGAGGAAATACTCTAAGAGCTTAAGTAGAGTTATATTTTAAATGGATTAAAAATTCATTATTTTAAAAAAAGATTTCATTTAGGCATACATTATTCTATATATAATAATTTAAATGTACAAAACAGAAAATTAAAGGTCAGTGTTTTTGGTGATAATTCTTTGCTTTATACAAATATTCATCACAGAATCTATTTCAAATAGCAAGTTCCCATTACATTTAAATTTAATTTTTGCTGAACATACAGTTGCATGTATCCAAAACCACTCAGGTAAAAATGTCTAAGTAAAGGAAAACATCTATAAGACTTTGTCAATTCAGAGACTGTAATCATTGGTATAGAATTACTTTGCACCTGACAAGCACCGTACACTCCTGTTTTCCAGAACATTCCTTGCACTTATCCTCATTTACATCCTAGCCCAAACTCTTCCCTTTCCTCACAAATGCTTTGCCCTCACATTACTTTACAACATTCTACCCATCTGAAATGGACTATGATAATGATAGTGTTTATCCATTCGTTTTGCCCATGTCTCTGTCCTATTCGCATTTTTTGGGAAAGCCCCAGCACTTCTATCCGATCTGGTGAAACTGTCAGTCATGATCCCCTTCCTCCTGTCCCACTCCCCACAGTGATGGACATGTGACATACCTGACCGCAGAGAATGGGCAGGTTCCCAAGCAGAGCTAATGAGACTCCTCACTGGTTTTTAATACATGGTCACTGGGAAATAGAAAGGCTTGGCTTGTAAGCCCTAATTCTGTAAGTTTCTGTCTTCAGCAATCATCCTTGTGCAGAGTTTGAATGAGATAAAGTCAACAAAGAGAAGGGAGCTAAGTCTGACAACCTCATTTTAGTTCCTGGATCAACCTCATCTGAAGCAAGACATCCTTACTACAGAAGTTGATAAAATGCCTTTTTATTTCCTCGAGTTTAAATTTGGTTACCTATAACCAATAAAGGATTGGTACACGTTTCTTTATTTCTGGCCAAAATCTCACTTTCCCCTAAGAAAACTTTCCAGCTCCCTTGGTTAGAATTAACCTCTCCCTCTTCTGACCTTTCATGACACTTGCTTCCTATTACTCAGTGCTTATATTGAAAGATATCATTCATTATTAACCTGTCTCTATGTCAAGCCTGTGAGATCCTCCAGGACATTTGTCTTTGTGCATTATTTGAGTACCCCACTGTGTCTAATTCAATGCTGGGCCCACACCTAGTCCCTCAAAAATAGTTTGACAATTTGAATTGAATTGAATCACTACAATTCATATGATCTATGTACTCTGTGGAAGCCATCAATAAAATGTTCTTTGCAATCACTCTATTGGACTCTGAATAAAAAGTATGCAGAGATCAATCAAAAGTGGTTTAAAGAAAGAAATCAAAGTCACCTAATTTGGTTGTTCAAAATATCATTTTAAGTGAATACTTTATAATTTTCTACTTAATTTTATCTAAAAAGACCAACTGTTGTGCTCAGTTGGGCCATTAGTCTATTTAGAAAATTTGCTGACAGGCCAAACTTTCCTTCAGTTTACACTTGGGAAATCGCTGTTTATTGTTTTCTGTTTAAGGAGCCTGAGGCACTCAGCTTGAGTCACAGGGAGGAATAACCAAACATTCGATGTGTTGTGGAGACTTCCAACCAAGAACACCTTTAAAAGTGCACATTGAAAAGACATCTAGGAATAATATATTTTAATAAACGATGAACATAAAAGTCATTTATGTTTATTGTAGAAAGAGAAAGAAAGAAAGAAAAGGAAGAAAGGAAGGAAGGAAGAAAGGAAGGAAGGAAGGAAGGAAGGAAGGAAGGAAGGAAGGAAGGAAGGAAGGAAGGAAGGAGAAAGAGAAGAAGAAGAGAAGAAGAAGAAGAAGAAGAAACAAGAAGAAGAAGAAGAAGGAAGAAGAAGAAGGAAAAAGGAAGAAAGAAAGGAAGGAAGGAAGGACAATCACATCCAGCTGGCCTGGCTCAGTGGTTGAGTGTCCTCCTATGAACCAGGAAGTCATGGTTTGATTCCTGGTCTGGGCATATGCCCTGGTTGCGGGCTCAATCACCAGTAAGGAGTGTGCAGGAGGCAGCCAATCAATGATTCTCCCTCATCATTAATGTTCCATCTCCCTCTCCCTCCTTCTCTGAAATCAATAAAAGTATAAGTATATATTAAAAGAGAAAAAAACACAGCTTTATATATCCATATTTTTTTTAAAAAAAGGACAGAAAATACAATTGCTTATAATTCTACCATATAGGTATGTCCTGACAAATTGCTTGCTTTCTCCATGTGTGTACATCAAAAGATTTATATGCTTCAAAGAATGTTTTAAAATTTGGGTGTTTTGTTAACAGCATAACATGGACATCTTTTCATGTCATTAATTTTCCCAATTGCACCATTTTTTTATATTTTTTTAAATATATTTTATTGATTTTTTACAGAGAGGAATAGGGAGTTAGAAACATCAATGAGAGTGAAACATCGATCAGCTGCCTCCTGCACACTCCCCACTGGGGATGTGCCCACAACCAAGGTACATGCCCTTGACCAGAATCAAACCCGGGACCCTTGAGTCTGAAGGCCGATGCTCTATCCACTGAGCCAAACCGGTTAGGGCCCAATTGCACCATTTTTAATGTCCACATTATGTAGAAATAATGTAGTCTACTTAACCGAATCTTTGAAATCTAGATAAACTGCTATTTTCAATATTATAAGCATCTTTCCTGGCTAAAATCTTGTTCACACCCATGATTATTTCCTCATGATAAATTTCATAAGTGCAATTACTAAGCTAAAATTATTAGTATTTCTTAAAGCTTTTAACAAGTCTAGCAAATTATAGCAACAATTAGAAACATTGTATTTCTTCTAGTAAACAATGAATTAAAAATCCTCAGTTTGCCCGGCCAGCACAGCTCAATGGATGAGCATCAACCTGTAAGCCAGGAGGTCACAGTTCAGTTCCAGGTCAGGGCACAAACCGGGCTTGGTCCCCAGTGAGGGACAAACAGAAGGCAGCCAATCAATAATTCTCTTTCATCATTGGTGTTTCTATCTCTCTCCCTTTCCCTTCTCTCTGAAATCAATAAAAATATATTTTAAAACAACAACAACAAAACCCTCAGTTGAATATTACTGCTCTGACCTCAATTTGGAAATATATTTTTAGGATTCTAATTTGACAATCAAAATCACACAACTTTAAAGTTATATATATATATATGGCATATTTATGACTGTAAAAAAACAGAAAATAAATAGCATCATTTTTTGTTGTTGTTAATCCTTACCCAAGGATATTTTTCCATTGACTCTTCTTTTAGAGAGAATGGAAGGGAGGGGAGAGACAGAGAGAATCGTTAATGTGAGAGAGACACATCAATTGGTTGCCTCCTGAATGCATCCAGACAGGGGATGGAGTCTGTAACCAAGTTACGTGCCCTTGACCCAGGACCCTTCAGTCTGCAGGCCAACGCTCTACCCACTGAACCAAACCAGCTAGAGCAAATACCATCACTTTTGAGTGCCATGCTGATCCCCACCAACAAAATGCTTCTCTGGAATTTGTTTCCAAAAAAGACTTCAATGTTTCTATTGGGTGTGTCTTGGCAATAAATCTAAGTTCAACATAGGGGCCAATTCCAGACTCTATTAGAAATCAATATAAGGGAAATCCACCTTGGATGTCATCTGACTCAGATTAGCAGAACCCTGGTCCCTCTACCCCAGTGATGGCGAACCTATGACACGCGTGTCAGAGGTGACAAGCAAACTCATTTTTTTGGTTGATTTTTCTTTGTTAAATGGCATTTAAATATATAAAATAAATATCAAAAATATAAGTCTTTGTTTTACTATGGTTGCAAATATCAAAAAATTTCTATATGTGACACGGCACCAGAGTTAAGTTAGGGTTTTTCAAAATGCTGACACGCCGAGCTCAAAAGGTTCGCCATCACTGCTCTACCCCTTCCAGAAGGCAGTTCCATTATGGCAGAATGGCAT